AAAAAAAAAAAAGTTAGGAAATGAGGAGTACTAACTGAAGTAGGAACTGCAGGCTGGGGATTTAGCTCAGTGGTTCCGAGGCCTGCCTCACACGCGCAAGGGCCAGGGTTCACTCACCAGTACAAAAAAGAAAAAGAATTGTAAACAGTTGGAGGTAAATGCTGGTTTTTTACATTATTTAACTTTTGCATTTTAATCCATTAAAACTTTAAAACAATAATGACCCTGAATGTATCACAGTACAATGATCATGTACATATAAGCCCCCTTAGGTGTGGAAGAGCATGACACATTTCCAAGTGTTTATCGAGTAAACAATCCCCAGATTCCAGACCCCAAGAAAAAGATGGGTTTGTGTAAGCACAATGAGTGTCAATCATAATTGCAAAACACACAATCCCAAATGATGAAATTCAAAACACTTGAAATCCCCTCAATTTGAAAATCATAACCCTCGGCCAGGTATGGTGAGGCACCCCTGTAATCCCAGCACTCGGGAGGCTGAGGCAGGAAGAACGCTGCAAGGTCAACGCCAGCTTGGACTACACAGTGAGCCCCGGTCTCAAAAAAAGACAGAAAAAATCATAACCCTAAAAGATTAACATCCTGGCAGGCATAGTGGTGCACACCTATAATCCCAGCACTTGGAAGGCAGAGGAGGCTAGAAGATGGACCAGTGTTAGTTCAAAGCCAGGCTGAATTACATAGTGAGTTCAAGGCCAACCGGAAACCCTGTCTCAAACAACAAAGATTAAAATCCTAAATGCTGAAAGGTAAAAATCTCCAAAGCTGCAATTCCCACTGAATAAAAGGGTGGTGGTAGTGTATCGGGGAGAAGTGCAAAGCAGAATTCCAGGACAGCAGTTAGTGCATTTTCTATCACCAGATACTGCATCCTGGTTAGGTGGAATGGATACGTTTGTCTGTGAGAGGTTTCTGGAGGTCAACAGTGAAAGCTAACCCACATTCTTAAAAGATACAAATGTCTCAAGATCTCTTTAGTGGACTGTACACAGAAGGGCGAGCTACCTCAGCTTTTATCAGCCTTGTCCAGACTGATGCTCTGCCGTGGTATTTCAGATGAGCACAGGTAAGGATGTGATGGCTCTTACACTCGTACAGCTGTCACTAGTCAACTCGAGTGCTTAGGCTTGGCAAAAATCTGTGTGCTCGGCTGCCTCTTGTTTTGTATGGCGCCCTGTAAGTAAATAAATAAATGTTGAGGTCTCACCCTCACCTCTCCATCTTTCCTCACTTGATTTTTCATCTCCTATGACAAAGGACCCCCTCAGGCCTTCCTTTTGGCCCAGACCTCTACCTGATCTGAACGCCGAGGCCACAGAGCTGTACCTGTCACCAAAAGCCAGCAGGTTCCCAAATGAACACGCCCTGCTTCTCTTTTTGGCTCTGGCACCTCCGTCCGCAGGAGCCACTCCCTTCACACTGGCCTTCTGGCACTGTTCTCCCTTATTTCCACGTTCGCGGTCCGCATTTGGTCATCTGTACGTAACCCTCAAATAATGGAGAACCCAAGGTCACCTCTGTGATCTGAATGTCTGGTCTCCCTCAGGTCGGAAAGGTGACATCCCCAACTCCAAGATGACAGTACTAGCACATGAGTGTGGAGATCTGGTAAATGGAATCAGCATCCTCTTAAAACTGGCCCAAGAAGGGGCCAGGGATGTAGCTCAGTGGTGCCACGCCTGCCTGGCAAGCACAAGGTCCTGAGTTCAATTCCCAGTTCCAGAAAAAACAAAAACAACTGGCCTAGGAAGCTCTGTCTCTTCCACCTCAGCAACGTGGCAGGCATCTTCTATGAAGCAGGAAATGGGCCTCAGCAGGTAAGGGATCTGCTGACAGCTAAATCTTGTACTTTCCAGCCTCTAGACTTGGGAGAGATAAATTTATATTAACTATAAACTACCTAGTTTATGGTATTTTTCCCAGTAGTACAGAATGACCCAGAGAGTAGTCCTACTTAAATGAAACAGCATCATGTTACCTCCTTCCTTCCTTAAACCTCTGCAACGCCTGTGGTTGCCTCAGCTCAACCCTGCGCTCCCGCCCGGTCTCCTTTCACAACTGCGGGTACTGCACCTACTTGAAATTCTAGTCTGCACCGAGCCCCTTCGTGCCTCAGGAGACCCGCCCTCCTGGTCTTCTACCAGAGAATTCAGCATTCATGATGCACTTAACCGACTGCACCGAGTCCTCACTCCGGGACAGGTCATGCACAGGGTGCAGGCAGCGGGGAGACAGACAGTCTTCCACAGCAAAACAGACTTTAAACAAACGAGCCTCTGTAGAGCAGAAGGCACAGAAAAATCTCCCCAGAAGTAACACTGGAGTTTATCTACATTTTACTGCAGTATCTTCTCCTGCTTCTTTATAAATCAAACTGATTTAGAAACTGCTATTTTATTTTGGCATATCTAGGAGTTTAAATACTTCTGTTCAGAGGTGATTTTCTGCCCTGCATTTCCTCTTTCTAAAATTCATGATCCTAGCAAAATACTAATCAAGGCAGCATTCCTACACACCCTGCCCCCAGCCCAAGTGCTCCACTCGGCAGAGCCGGACCAACCCTCAGCCCCGGACTGGGCTCAGCAGATTATTTCCTCTTTTCTCTTCCCCTGTGGCTCCGACCCCCTGCTGGACTGGCTGACAACCCTGAGGGCAGTAGCAGCACCCTTCCCCCTTGTAATCTAACCCTAACCCTACCCGAAACAGAGCAGACCGCGCTAAAGGTTCAAGGGGCAAAAATTCGCACTTTATTGGGAAATTACTTTGTATATTGAGCATAAATGTGTGTGCCCTTTTTCTATAGCCAAAAACTTCTTTTCCCCAATACTGGGGATTAAATCCAGAGCCTTCTCACTGAACTGCATCTCCAGCATTTTTTTTTTTTAACTGAGTCACTAAATTGCCCAAGGATAGGCTCAAATTTGCCTCAGACTACTGCAGAGCTGGGATTACAGGTGTGCACTACCACTCCCAGCCCACAAAAACTGAAAGGTCTGGAAGTACTGCTTTTAAGGGAAATCCCAGTAGTGGCTATGAAATTGCAAGTACAAGGAAGTCTTCATTAACATTAACTACAGTTGCTAAAAATTAACAAGTATCAGTGACCATTAATAGGTATCTGGCTAAACAAACTATGGTACACTGTAATCATGGGCGGGGCTCTGCCAACACTGAAAGGTGTTCACAACTTAGATAATAAAAAATGTAGTAAAATTTGGTAATTTATTCGTTAGAAAGAAAAAAACATGTTTTTACAGCATAGAAAAAATGTTCTCTAAGAACACATCCTCCTCTTTCTCTGGAATCACAGGACAATCAACAGAAGGGAAAAACCTTTTCGTTTTCTACCTTCAGCTTCCAGTCACTGAATTTGTCACAGGTTTTTACTAGTTTCCTATTTAAGAAACTGAGATTATACTGTTTGAATTCTGTTTTTAACCCAAAATAAAATTCACCACTCTGTTCCCAGCACCTAGAACAGTCCTGTAGCAAGCACTTAGTTAATATTTGTTGAATGAATCATAGCTGTACAATTATAAAATCAGTTACTAAAAAAAAAGGATCAGCTGCTTCACAAACTCGAAAAAAATTATTTCAAAACTATATTAACAGTTTGCCTCCCATTCTAAATGAGTTATAATTTTAAGTAAATTTTTAAAAACACACAAATGCATTATATAAGCAATCCAACCCCCTCAAAAGAGCTCCTGCAAATCAGTTTAATTCACAACCTGCAGTCTGGCACATGCCCGGTCATACATACAAGTGTGTTTTCAGGGTACACACACATCCTCGCTTTCTCTGGGGTTACAGGATCTCTAGCAGGGAGGAATAACCCCTTCTACTTTATACTTACCCGGAATGTGTTAGTACCTGTATGACTTTTTTTTTTTTTTTTTTTTTTTT